TCATTCCAGTCAACGTGATTCAATTATCGGAAAATCATTCAAAAAACAAAAAGAAAAAGAAATATTGGATAGCCTCTCGAAAGCGGGGCGTCGATTAATCCTCAATGATAATAGAATTATAAGTCTGACTGAACCGGCGACACTGACACACAGAGAATATATTCCCGAACTCATTTTGAATTTTCCACGGATAACTAGGTACACATTCTTCAATCAGTTTCCCATGTAAATGTCATCATCACATTAGGAGTATTGTTATCAAACCCTGGGAAATGTTATTTCTCAATGCTGGATGGGTTGCTAGTAATAAGTCGAATCCCTCCCTTCCCCATTACTGGTGTCAGGCGTAACCGTTCCGCTGCTGTCGACAATGTGGGATTGAGGGCGGCCAAGAAGTCGTTTAAGCTGCCAATATGATGCTCTACCTGCGCCTCCCAGTTGGAGAGGTATTCGAATAGCCTTCCCTGCATTGCTGAGTTGAATATGGCATCAACTGAACTCGATAAAGGAGAAATTATGAATTCACCACGTCCTGTGAAATACAACAGGGCGAATCACAAAGACGATATCACTATAAACCTCCCGACAGGGACATAGGACCTCCACAGTAGAGCTAGATGGTTGTGAATAGAATAGACCCAGCCATTGTATGTGACTTGAACTTAGGCTTATAATTTCAGCCAGAAGGAGCAAGATGGCATCTTGCTCACTTACAACATCACATGACAAATCTTGTGCGAATCTTCCGCACTCGCAATTTCCCAACATTGCAACACTCTTCCAGCGTCGTTCTTTGGGCACTTGTACTCACATCGAGTGAACCCCTTTTCACACATAGTTCAACACCCGCGGTATTTATGCTTAACACTATTGTCTGGCTGAGCTGAGATTCAACATATAAGCGCGATTTACTCGTAAGGCACCGGTAATCCTCATTCACTGTAACATGACACAACTTCCCTCTATTCAGCCGTTTTACTCGCTTTTTTTCTTTCCCGCTGCAACTCTTGAGAATCTTGAATTCTCAAACATTGCGAACTAACAGTTCATTGTTTGATTCTACTAGACATGACGCTCTAGAATTGGTTTGTAATATTATAATGCCGATCATCGAAGAAGTCGACGGACGTGTGAACTCTGAGGATTCCGATGATACCGACGATGAGATGCCCACTCTCGAGACGACTGGTCAGGATGACAACAACCAGCAGCAGCACCCTATGAGGGGGAAGCTTAACAGAGCAGAGAAGAAGGCTAGAAGGGCTATACAGAAGCTTGGCTTGAAGCCGGTTCCTGGTATAGTCAGGGTTACTGTTCGTAAAGGGAAGGAGGTGAGTTATTGACTCGCTGGGTTATGCACTTGATGGTTTTTCAGATGCTCTTCGTGATATCCCAGCCTGACGTGTTGAAGGCGGCTGGGGGTGACACCTACGTTGTTTTCGGAGAGGCCAGAATAGAAGACATGTCGGCCATGTCGCAGGTGAGTGTGCCTCGTCCGGACATGTTTTGAATCTTATCTTCCGGACCTGTTTTGTATCTTACCATCCGGACCTGTTTTGTATCTTATCTTCCGGACCTGCTTTGTATCTTACCATCCGGACCTGTTTTGTATCTTACCATCCGGACCTGTTCTGTATCTCACCATCCGGACCTGCTTTGTATCTTACCATCCGGATCTGCTTTGTATCTTACCGTTCGGACCTGTTTTGTATCTTACCGTTCGGACCTGTTTTGTATCTTACCATCCGGACCTGTTTTGTATCTTACCGTTCAGGCCGCTGCCGCATCCCAGTTCACCAGCATGCCCGAGATATCCAAGGTTGACCCCAGCCCCCACCCCATACCGTCCCCCGCTGAAGAAGACCAAGACGAAGGTGACGATGATGTTGACGAGAGTGGCGTCGAGGCTAAGGATGTTGACCTAGTTATGAGTCAAGTCAACTGTTCTCGATCGAAAGCAGTGAAGGCTCTGAAGGATGCTAATAATGACATAGTTGAGGCGATCATGCAACTTTCCCCGTGATGACGAAGTTGATCCCATGTGGTAGGAAGAGTTTCTAGTTTAAATTTGTTGTGTTGAAGTATGTAGGGTTGGCTGGGGAGGATGAGCTTTCATTGATGATAGCAAAGGAGTTTTCTATGGCATAGAATCTATGCGCAGTGTTGAAAATTTCAAGACTGGTTAGTGATGACACTCCTGAGCTCAGGTGTGGAAATGAGATACATATTTCGACTTCAAATATGTGTTTGCTTTCCTCAGCTGAGCTCAGGAGTTTCCTCACTAACTACAGAAGTGTACAGAAACCAAGGAGAATTTTTGAGAATTTTCATCAACAAATGTTATTGACCACACAGCTTTGGAGAAAATCATTCTGTTGTATTTCTCTTATTCTTAGGTGAAACTACGAAACTCTTCAAACGGTCGATTATGAACGTTTTGTATTCCCCAAATTCTCGTTAACAGTAGCGAGTATTGAGGAAAAGGGAGCTCTCAATCTCTGGGAATTTCGCGGCGTGTGTGAATTCTTGAATTTTTTTCTAAATTGTTATGATGTTTCAAAAGGGGGCGAACAGTAATATGTCGAAAAAGGTGCCATCTGACTTTGACTTGGTTTTTTTCGTCGTCAAATGTGCTGCGAGTGGTATACAACACCAACCCCAACTTTTGTGATATAGCTCTGTGGGTTCGTGATTGTTCATGAAGATGTATTGATATACGACTGCGATATATACATGTAAAGTAGGGAATGTTGCAAACTGTGGAAATATGTGATTTTTAATAATAACATGTCGTACCAACTAGCATCTATAGATGTACCGAGATTATTTTTATCAATACGTTTATATGATTTTCTGATATTATGGTATATGTTTATCATGACAGATGAGTGAGCTGCAACAGTTGGGAGAGTTTCCAACTGATATTGCATAAACGTTTACATCTGATTTCGGTACGACTTGGTACTAGGCTGAGCTTTCAGTTGCCAAAACGAAGTATTAGATTTTTCTCGTAGTTTTCAATTCCCGTATGTCGGGTGATAGCAGCAGCAGTGACGACTACGGTGACGTTGATTTACCACAAGAGCTTCTGCAGGCTATTGGCCAGGATGCTGAGGCGGCGGACCCGCTAGAGCAGGCTGAATTCGACGTGGTGCGGTATGTTAATGATTTATTCCCGGACGAGGAGAGTCTGCAAGATGTGGATGCAAGGTAGTATCTTGAGGTTGGGCTTGCTGCTCGCGGGGGAAAAGATATTTCTGCTAGAAAACGTATAAATGTATAACTTGGAGTTGCGCAACCTCGACCAAGTCTGTATCATATGGCTTTCTGAAATAGGTTTTTCATTTCTGCATAAATCGCCGATTTCCGAACTACTTGTTGAAATATATGCTCGCTAAGTGAAGAGGAAACTCCTAAGCTCGGGTGAGCTTAGGAGTTTAGTCTCACCCTGAAACGCCTATGTGTGCTAGTGAGACTATGAAAACTCTGAGGAAGTTTTGGGAAATTTCCCTCGGCGTTCACCTCCCACATTTACCTAAGCCCGTGTGTGAATAGTAAGGAAATTCTTGAGCTCACCTGAGGAAAGCGAACACATACTATGAGTTATAGTCTCTAGCACTGATTTCATCTCAACGAGGAATGTGATGGTGACACGTTCGGCGGAAAAAATATATCTGGCAATATTCTTTTCGTGCCTACTTGGTGCATCTGTGAATGTAGGTTGGCAAGCATTGAGTCTGAGATAGCCGAGCTGGACGAGCAGATAGACCGCGGCGTTCGGGACTACGCGCAGAGGGTTGTTGATGGTGACGCGGAAAAGGCGTTGAAAAATGCTACGGAAGGAATAGCAGAACTCAACAGTAAGTTTTGGGAAAAAAATTTTCCCCGTAAATTTTCCTCAGTGTGGAAAAATATGCATATGGTCAAGTGCATGTGTTGGTGACGATGTGGAAATTTTGGTAAATTGTTGTTCGTTTCTGTACACTTCTGATGAAACTCATGAGCTCAGCTGAGGAAAGTGAATATATATTTCTTGTTTTGGTGAACGACGATTTTCGAGACTCCAAGAGAATTACTAGATGGGGGACATTTTGGGGAGGAGCCTGTGCAGTATGCGCTTCCCCGAAGATACGTGTGCAGAAGTAACTTTTCCTAGAGAACGACTTTTGAATGTGAGATTATTTCGCATAGTTATATTGCGCTAAACCTGTCGGGAATCGATTTTCGGAAAAAAAAATAAACTGCATTTTTTCGTATGTGTCTGACCCCGGGATTGAACCTAGAATTGAGGATAAGAAAATGGAGACGAATATGATCAGTGTTGAAATATTAATATTGGAGTTTCACCCGTTTTACGTGAAGTGGCGTAAAAGTCGGTGAAAAACGCGATTCTCGCGGTGATATGCAGTAGTCGTGAAATATGTTTTTCATATTACTAGGGTGAAACTCCATTGGTTTCCTCGGCTGAGCTCAGGAGTTCCTCACTGATTATAGGAGTAGGGTAGGAAAGTACAGAAACCAACACAAATTCGCGAGTTTCCCTCCTCCCCCTCACTGAGCTGAGCTGGTGCCATACGACACTTTAGATAAGATAGGGTCGATCCATACCCGAGCTAAAGAGTCGGAAGAGTTGGTGCAGTCGGTGTCGGGTGATATCGCGGCTCTGGATGTCGCGAAGAGGCACATCACAGCGACGGTGACGGCATTGAAGCGATTGGTTATGTTGGTTAGCGCGACGGAACAGCTCACTGCGTTCGCGGCGGAGAAACGGTTCGCGCAGGTAACCGAAAGGTCTCTGGTTCGAATCCTGGGAGGGACATTTTTTTAGTGTACTCCTCTGGTGTTGGCAATAGTGGAGTTGTCGGAGATGTTCGAGCCGTTGCGGCCGCTACTACCACAGGTGCAGTGTTGGAGGAAGGGGAGTATATGTCCGCTTCCCTCAGCTCAGGAGTTTCCAAAGCTGAATATGAATTGATTAAATTAACCACGGCTATGCATTCCGCAATGTGTATAACAGTGTTGGAGGGAATATATGTTGGCTTACATCAGCTCAGCTTAGGAGTTCCATCACTAATTATAGGAGTTGGGGTGGAAACCAATGGAAATTTTCCCGAAAATTCCACAGAATTTTCATATTGTCACCAACACATGTAGTTGACCATGTGCGAAGGCGTTTTGAGGATGGGCTCCGATTGGGCCTATTTTGCATCTTAGGTCGACGAGCTGTTGAATCATAAAGATCGCTTGTTGGAAGACCTCAAGGCAGAGTGTCTAGAGGACATTGAGGTGGGTAGCGATATAGTGAAATATTCACTCACGGAATTTTTCGCCCATGTATAATCGTCTGTGTCCGATCAGGGTAAACTGTTCACGCCTGGGTACGACGCGGAGGGGAAGGTCGATGCAAAGGCGGCATGCGAGACCGCGGCGGCTATCGGCAAGGAAGTGAAAGATGATGTCATCAGCATGTAAGACTTTTTTCGACAATCAAGTCCGTTTTATACTGGAGTTTCACCCTAGTGATATGAAGAACATATTTGCCGACTAGCACAGGCCGCGAATATCGCGTTTTTCACCACCGAGTTTTACGCCACTTCACGTGAAACGGGTGAAACTCGATTTTAATGATATTATCATGTTCGGAGAGTGTCTATACGAAATTTCAAATTGATATTAGCGGTAGTTCAGAAGTTGGAGTTATCACCCGAAATTTGGTTTTGAAAGTGCGCGTAATATACCATATGCGCATTACAAATAGGGGTCAAAAAAGTGCAAAAAAATTATTTTTTTTCGAAAATAATATAATCGTCCTCGGGGAGTGCTTATAGAAAATTTCATCGGAAACGCCACGTGAAGTTGGCTCTTTACTTTGCGTGGATCGTAATTGATCATTGAGGATGAAAAAATGATGTTTCGAGGTTCCGCATTTCAATGACTTCCTGTTGTTGATGGTTTATGATTTATAGTAATGTGAAACACGCGATGGGGAATTTTATTAGTGTATTTGTGATGGAAACTATGGTAGATGAAATTGTTAGGGAATTATAGAAGTTCTCTAAACCTGGTTGTGGTTGTTTTTTTTCTTTTTTTTCCGTCACCGTTGTTGAAAATTTTGCGTCCTCATCACCTGCTAGGTCACAGTTCGTTATTGAAGTTCACTGCGCGAATCGGATCGGCCGAAAATCTCGACCGATTTTATTGTTGTTGGTTAAAAAAGTTTTAGTCGTTTCAAGTTTTCTGAGCGTGATTAGCAGCCTGCTATAGGCTCGTGGGCTCGAAAAAATTCCGGAAACTTCGGTGGGAGTTTTCGTGCAGTATTGGAATATAAGTTCGCTCTCATCAGCTGATCACACATGAACTTGGGTAGAAGTGTGCAAAACTCGGGGAGAATTTCTCCGAAATTTCCCTCGAAATTTTTTTATATTTTCGTACCTATTCTCTCCCTCACACTGGTTTCACGTAGTACTGTATGCGGCTGTTGAAGGAATACCAGAAATTGTTTTCCTTTCCGGATGGTCAGTATTCGAC